GCTCTATTTACTTGCAGTGTAAAAGGTAGTCAGGATACCCTGAACTTCAGAAAAGGTACACTATGGCAGCCAGCAAATGGAAAATAAAAGTACTAAAAATGTATTTAAGGGATTTCACCATTAAAGTCTACATACATACGTCTTCACGGTACAATTCAGTGGATTTTGATCCAATATGTTATCCGTTTATGTAAATCTCAAATTTTCTCTGACAAGACCTAAATAGTACAGCTCTATAAAATCTTGAAAAAAGGCCTTAAATACATTGCAATTAGATCTTATGACGTTTATATACTAAAGCTTACTAATTAGAGGTCTTGGGATGTCAGAGAAGCTGAAGTACTCATATGGGCAAAAGCAAATGCATCTGTTACAATTCGAATAGCTATGGTGGTTTGAAGAGAACACTCTCGTAATTCCTATTCGGGTTACTCTATCAGATACCAGAGAATTTTTTTTTTTTTTTAATGAGTTAAGGCAAAAACGCTACTGAATGTCTGCCAGAAACCAGACCAAGGTTATCTAGCCAACAAAGCAGCTTATAAAAGGTCTCTTATCACATGCTCAAGGTACATGATTCCATAAAGCTTCTCAAAGTATCATGCTTACAAAATGGTACTTCTCACAGGTTCAGAAAGTCAATTTTGACAGCAAACATGCCCTTGCCAAGTCAGAATCCACTATGGGTTAAAACTGACTCTCGCCTTTACTAGAAGACCTGAATAGATAAATAGAAGCAAGTTTCTCATATTTTTCTTGCTTGATGTCTCAGGTGACCTCTTAAAAGTAGATCAAATTACTGAAACACCTAGATGTACACCTATTCTCCAACCACAAGAGGAGCACTTCATAAGCACTCTTGCAACTTTTGAGATTGAAACGCTCAGTATTAATAACAGCAATTGTCTACTACAAACCTCAGGGCTAGTGAAGGATGGACTCAGTATTGACATACCTCTTCCCCTTTAATGATAACAGCTCAGTCACACCAACGAGATCAAAAAAACCAACAGTGTCCAAAGAGGATGCTTCCAAGGGCAGTCCAATAAATGGGTGTTTGTATTTTTTTATTGTTTATTGTACTGTATTATACCAGATACATTATTCAAATCCAGCACAGAGCAAAAAACCCAAATGATCCCCTGCAGGTAAACATCAAAATAACCATTTATTAATAACTCACTTGTCAACCTTCAAAGCACTCATGAACTTCTGACAAAATACAGTACAAAATGGCAGCATACTCTACTTTTATATCGATTCCAATGGAGCTATTAAAATCCAGCAGCCATTCCGTTTGCATCAACTTGCTGTAATGTTCCAAAATAATTATACAAAACAGAACAGCTAGGAGCTCCAATAAAGCAGGCAGTATGTTTCTACTTATTAGAAGTCATGCCAACAACAGTGGTCTACATACCTGGCTGCCACATACCTGCTTTGTGGCTATTATATGCCTGCAGCGCTTGATCACAGGTAAGGCAATGCTGAGTCAACGCTTTTAGGACAACCACGCGTTACTTACGGCTCAAGATCCAACTACTTTGCTCTGAAGTAAGCCTCCCTATGAATCGACTTCATCCTATCTCCCTGACTCTATATCCATTTACTGCGTACATCTCTGCTTCCTTACTACATTCATGACCCTTCACAACTCCTAAGAAAGAGAAAGTGATTCTTATTAACTTAACTTGGAAAGTTCTCCCTGATTCCAAGCATCTTCTCTGAAAAGGAACATTAAAATATCATCTGTTTTATGCAGTCTTGTAGTATTTCTAACATTGCACAGTTGCAGGCATATAAGGCCATCTTCACTAACACTGGGAGGAAGGGATGAAGACAACACACCATACTGCATTTTGCATTAGCTTTCATGCTGTTTTTTTGTTTGAGACAACTAATGTTAAGAACAAATAGTCAAGACCTAGTTCTTGCCTGTTTTGCATAAGCCTTCCAACCAGCTGCTGCTCACAAGCTATTATCATTTTTCTCATCTGTATGTAGGAGGTAGAGATACTTCTCCCCTACAGAAGAAATACTTTACATTTTTAATTAAAGACTGCTATAAAAAGATGTAACACAGCACTAGAATTTTCAGAAACCATGCTTATTTAAACCACATTCAATAAAATATACTTAGATCGACATTTTGAAACAATTAGGGGTCAAATCTATCAGTAAAATAAAATGGATCTCTATTAAGAAAAAAAAAATCCTCTCTATTCAGCTCCAGGAAATTTTATAAAGCAGAAATAAAAAAAGTCACATAAGTTGTTATAGTTTGCAAACTGTAGGACTGCAGAGACTGAAAGACCACTGAAGTAATCCTAAAGGATGATCAGAATTCTGCCAACGCTATGTTTTTGCTGCAGAAATCCTAGGTTCACGCTCTTCAAGGTGGATTTCAAGTGCTAGTGAACAAATAGTACTAACTCAATTGGATAGTGAACTGTTTGCTGTGTCAAAGCTTTTTGCCAAACACATATATATAATTTTTCTTTTTGCTGTATGGATAATCAACCCCAGATGGCAATTTACATAGGCAACAGCATAAAGGAATCCATGCACTGCTGGTGCTCTCAACCTCAATCAGAGCAAGCATGGGCGTTTGAGAATGTCACTGTTTATTTTTAATTGCTGTGTCCCTCCTTTGTGCAGGTTCAAGCGGTCAAAGACGTCGAAGCCCATTAGCAGAACTGGAAAGTGATGCCACTTCATTTGGTGAGAGGGTTCCTCAAATTTAAAAAGCAGCTGGTTTGCAATGTCCCTAAATGCCCAGTGGGCACCAGCTGTCAATCTCAGTTACCATAGGGTCAGGGCAAAAAGAGGTCAGAGAGAGTCATAAACCACAGTGTGTTGTGAAATGTGCTTCCTCCGTTACCTTGTAGGCCTGAGAAAGGTTTGACCTTTTATAGGTATCTCAGCCTAACTCTGTGATGCTAGCAGGGGTAAGCACAGTACGCAATTCAAACCTACAAAAGTTGCTTCCTTTTACTGTGTTTTTGGCTTCCATACCTGCACGATAGGAACATTCATTCACAAGCTGCTAGGGGCGTAAAACAAAATGAAAATCTCTGCCCACTACTGTAACACTCAGATGTGTTGGTACACATCTCCTTCACACAAATCAGTAAAAGATTAATTCATTAATACTAATTGAAAATAAACTGAAACTTTGAGGGAAGTGGTTAATGCCATCAATGCCAAATGATCTGGCTCCTCTTTGACAATGCTTTACCTATCTACGACTTGCCTTTTACCGCATTGCTCCCCCAGTCACTGTGGCTGGGAGGAAGTTTGTTTGTTTTAAGATATAAAAAGTCTCTCCTACCTTCCTCTGAAGCATCCATTTGCAAATAGGTAAGTCATTCGTTACATCTTATGTCATTTTCTGCTGTCATATTGATCCTCAAAGAACAGATTGTAATTCCTAGATGTATTTCTCTAAAACATTCTTGGACATTATATGAAGAGCTAAGCAGTCACTTCCACATACAGCCTAGTTATGCATTCTCCCTTTGAAAGGAATAATTACCTTGCTTTGTCTCACCCCCAGCTCCTGGAGCCCACAGGAAATTTGACCAGCACTACCCCAAAGGGAAAGCAGCTCCCTTCGCTTCGCAAAGCCCCTCTTGGACAGGAGGCATCACTCACTGCACTGCTCAGCCTTGCACTCCTAATTGCTTGTGCCTCCTTGGAGCCCTCGTGCCACCAGGCCCCAGACAGCAAACAGGAAACCAAGGCAAAAGGAAGGGATTCAGGTGAGGGGAAAGCAGGAGAGGCTGATGCAAACCCAGCTAAGCCCAGTTCCTGCAGAAATTAAAGGCAGGGCTCCCAAAGCAGGCTGCATGTTCCAAGCAGGAATATGGGAAGTGAGGAACTCCACTGGGAAAATGGGCATGATGGGGTGCGAATCATGCAAATTATTTTTATTCAGAGGTAATTACAATATCAGTCGGTCCCAGCTACCACAGAAAAGGTTGAGGCTGACCTAAAAGTAAATGCCAGCTATCAGCAAACTATTCCAGGTGAAATCAATGCCTCACTTAGTCCTTCACTTGCCCATGAAGTACAAGCAAACATGAGAAAGCAGTATGTTCACTCAGTGAATAAGATCCTTATAGTAACGGGACTCGAGGGCAGTGTTTACAGCCCTGAAAGGTCCCATCCAGCCACAAGGTAGCTACTCTTCGAATGCAACTGGCTAGGTCTATTTCAAGCAGCAGCTGGCAAAATGCTCTTCAAGTCGTGGCTTATTTAGGACAATTAATAGAAAGGGAAAGTCACAGCAGGCTAAAATCAGCATCTGCGAAATAGACTTTGTTCCAAATATCAGGGTTCCTTTATGTCTTTTAAAGGAAGAATATATTTCAAGAAAATGAAATCGTAACAACACTCAAGCAACTCAAAGGCCTTTGAAAGGCCTCCTGACTTTCTACAGGCTCTCTAAAACACCAGACTGCAGCAAGCCACATACCACATCCCAGGGGCCCTCTTGGAACATGCTGATGTCAATTAAACCCCCAGCAAACAGAGAGAACATGCACCAGGCATTTCAATGCCCTCCTCTTGTCATTTCCTTAGCTTCCAAACATCTCGGGAAGGCTACGTAGTCAGGGTCTTTTGCAAACCTTTGAACTGCAGTACAAGGTCTCAAATGCAAGTAACCTCACTCGAATCTTGTTCAGTCCTCGGGCAGGTCCCATCTTGGAAATCTGTCCAGGTTTCTTTCTTGAAAGTGAAGATCTAACACACTAACCGAAGCCAGCTTTCTATCCTCTTCGTTCAACTAAAATTGAGCAGGTAACTTTGCTGGCTGCCTCATTTAAAAATCTCAGCATTTCTCTCCGAGATAAGCTTGGCTTATAGCAGAATATGAGAAAAATAAAGACATTGAAAACAAGTGAATAAATTCAGACTGGAAGAGAACACTCTCTTCTTTGTTGAGTGTCCCTCTCTACCAGGAAAACTGGGGGAGGAAGCAAAAATGAGACACTCACCTTCAGGGCAGGAATCTCCACACTGTCACCAAGGCTAACACAGCCAGAAAGAATAGTCCCTGTCATCACCGTGCCTTGACCCTTGATAGAGAAACAGTGGTCGACTGCCATAAGGAAGGGTCCCGAGGGGTCTCTCGATGGCAGGTAAGCCTGAGACTTGAGGACCTGAAAAAAGATAAAAGCAGCACCATGCCTAGGTGAAAAGTCATGACAGCCATAAAGCAAGAGGAAGGTAAGCGAATGATTGATTCGACAAGCTTGCAGTTTTACTGATGTCAGGCATCTCCCAATGAGCTTAGAACACACCAATGTCAAATGAACTGTGCGCGCCACAGCAGAGATGCACGCTTCACAGCGGGAGCGGTTCGATTTTCTGCCTTAGAAAGATTTGGTGCTGCACATTCAGCTTGATGAGCAAAACTGCACTGGCGATAAAATTGCTGCCAAACTCAATACAAACACCGCAGCAAAGCAAAGCAAAAACTCCTGTACCCTCCCCCCGGCTTTCTTTTTTATACTGTAAAAAAATGCACTTTTTAGAAGAGGGCATTTGGCTACTTCAGCTTCTTGGATCTTGTGAGAATGAACTTACATACAGATCTTACAGTCCCCCATAAAGCCCATCCCTGCCTCACCCCCAGAAAAACTATTACACTTGGTAAGTTTTTAAAGCCAAATTTTCTTTCAGATTTATATTAATGTTTCTTTCAGGATCAAACCACTAAGAGAAATAGCTACATAAATAGCATTTTCTAGAAAATGCTCCAAGTTTAGGATTTGCATTTTGTTGACAAACATTTTGTTTCTTGAAAGATACCATCACGGAGAGAAGAAATTAACCACCGAAATTCAGTCATGTACTCGGAGATTAAGAGGAACTGGTTCACCCCTTGTCTCAAATCATCTTTGATCCCTACCACTATTATTATGAGGAGGAGGGAGAGGGAAGAAAGGATAAAACTCTGAAGCTCAATAGCAGAGCTCACTTGCTAGCTCTTCTAATATTAAGTCTCAGAATGAACAGAAACAGCTGCAATACGGGTATTTCTTTCAAGTTTTTAAGCTTGGGAACAGCACAGTAAATCTACCTGGACCTAGATGAAGGTAAATCAGAGATCCGCTTGTCTCCACCTCTCCAGATGTTAGCGTGGGCAGCCTGGTCCTTGCTAAGTCTAAGGCCAGACCACATCACATCCCAACGTCCTAGCTCAGCCCACAAGTTGCCTGCAAGGCCAGTATGACGTTCAGTGCTTGGAAGCCACATGGAAATTCCTGCCTTTGTACAAGCCAGGCTGCTGTTGCTCTAGGCCAGACATCTCTAGATTTAATGATTTGTGCTGTACCCTAACTCTAGCAATTTATAAGCATTTTAAACCTTGCAACATCCAGATTGGACCTTGACAAGTCTACAAAGAAGGATGCCTTTGTTTTAGGACTACTTTCCACTGACTGCAAGCAGCTGTGACACCTACCAAGGAAAAGATACACTGCTTTTCCTTAACTACTTATTCACAGAAGGGGTGACAAGTCTAGTACTAGCTATAAAGCCCACCTACCTCAAACCAACTCTGAATGTTCTGCCCTTCACAGTGTAAGCTTCCCACCATATAACATCCCACATAACTTAGCTTTCTGGAAACCTGAAAATTTGTCTTTACCTAAAAAGTCAGCATTGCGAGAACTAAGGATACTTGTGAAACTTCAGTTTGCTAACACCTTCTCTTGTTCATGTGGGCTCCGATATACTGTTAATTATACAATTTTCTTTTTCCCCAGGCCCTACCTCATTTAGGGCACAGGGTGAATCCAGGCAGTGCTCATCTTTTGTAGAAGTGCAAGGCACGCAACGAGCAAGGCAGAGCATTACAAGAGAAAGGTGGCTTCATGCTGAAGGCACCTGGTGCTGCTCTACAGAATGGATTCTGAACTTGCTTATGCCAAAGCTCCTATGCAATGTCATTTTCTTAAAAATGAAACTTGCCACAGGTAATCACTGACCGCACTCCTCTTCTCAGTTTGTCCAAACAGAACCCCAAAACGTGATTAACAGAAGCGCTAAGCACTCTCAACTGTGATCAAAACTGGCAAGTACTAAAATCTGAACACATTAAGTACTGTATGCAAGCACGTCCTGAAAGAGTTTGTTCCCTTAAGCTTGGCATCCAAAATTAGTGAACTCATTGGACTTAACTCTTTTGTGTCTCAGCTTCCCAATCTAAACATGGGACAAAAGTCACCTCTACACTTCATACCGGTGTTTCAGAAATAAGTTAACTGTTTGCCAAGTGCTCAATACCACAGTGATGAGTGCCAAAGAAAAGTCCGGGAGGAAATTAATCATTCTGAATGCAGAGCGGTATTTGAATGGAGCCATAAGGCCACACAGTGAATAATGAGAATGAAAAAAAAAAAATACTGACTACCTGCTCATTAGTTGAGCCCTATCCATCCTGTGCAAGGGATGAGGCCAGACTTGTTTGGAACAAAGAATCACGCACTTGAGCACTGGATCATAATGCCCACATGAAGGAAGGAGACAAAGCCACATGCGTAACTTTTGAGTGCTTGACTTCCCAACTTTAGTTTTCTTAATTTGTGGGTAATTATAAGAGAACACTCACCAGATTTTGGCAGAATTTTAAAGCTACTTTTATTCATTATGCTTAGTAATCCCTAACAACTTTAAAACACATTTCACTACACGTGACAGCTGTTTCTTAAGACAGTTATTCAAAGGCACTGAAACCAAGCAGTTGAAAAAAGTGCTCTTTCGGGGCACTCAGCCTCAACTTGTCCATTCAATTAGGAACCTAATTCTTTAGGAGTCCCTTCTTAAAACTCTGATATAAACACAGGAATCCCACAGCATTAGATACTAATATAGTGCACTCAACAACTTAACAAGTATGAGCATATTTTATGGCATTATGTTCTTCAAGCAAGTACCTCAATTAATTCAGAAACACCTAGTGGAGTCTCAGACTCTGGGGCTTCCGGTCCACCAGGCTTTGCTGCAACAGCAACAATAGGACACCCACAGAACCTGAAAGAGAGAAAGACTCCCACCATTAGACCACAAATCTCCTACTTGCGTAAAGGCAAAGTAGTTCCAGACTCATCTAACAGTGAGCGTGAGGAAACTGCCTCCAATTCTGATTTATCTGCTTCTCCCCAGAACGAGTAACTGACATTTTCTTCTGGAAGTACAGGCTTTTGTGCTACTGGACTTCACTATGAAATCTTTAATATAAACTGTTTAGTTTTGCATTAGCCTCTGATTCAACTTCCACTGGCAATCAAAAGTAACACTTTGGTCTATTTCAGAAGCAGGGGCCAGTTACTCCATCTTATTGCAGTGGCTTTGCATTCAAGCCATTTATTTGGAGACTAACATTATTTTCAGTTTTCATTTAAAAATAACAATAATAATAATCCTAGCTGTAGAGTCATAAGCTTCAAAACATGAACCAGCTGCAAGATGGCACGTGATATCTACCTGAGTCTGCAGACTGCCTGTAAAATATCTGCAGACAACAGTAAGCTCTGTTTGATATCAAAATTTATGAAAATAAATCATAACCATCAAAAATGTCAAGCTGTTGACAAGATAAATGACACCTGTTTAGCAATTGTTTTGCAATCTCAAACATATAAAGCTTCAGAGAACAGTTCTTCCACAGCTAACCTCAGTTTAGCTCTTCTGTCGCAATGAATTTTATTAAGTCCTTAATATTTAGCAGCATTTTTTAAAATCAGCTGATTTGTAACATTTGCTCCCTAAAACGCAAATTCTCTCTTCTGATAACTCGCTTTGACAACAATTTAGAAAGTCAACTTACTACCGCTTTTTTGCGAAAGTCGGGATTAACATGTTAAATATATATAATTCAAAGCAATGGAATAATAATCAACAGTAAAATTTAAGAGTGATTGGTTCTCACAGATACTTGATTCATACACAACAGATTCAGACCAAGAGCCATGATTGCTGTCATCCTTTTGACTCCCCACCGCCTTGCCAACTCATAGATTTTAATCTCAAAAAGGGAAATTTTTTTTTAAAGAAAAACAGCTAAGTTCTGCAGATGGAGCTCATTTAGTGGTCAAACAGTAATGCAGCATATAAGGTATTTTCTCTGTTTATATGCTATAAACCTGAGGCATCTAGAGACAAAAGGTAATAACTATGCACCAAGAATTCCCATCACTAACCTTAAAGCTGTGTCCAGTGATTTATCATAAAACTTTTGGATATTTATTTTCATACAAACACCTTTGGGGGACATATTGTAATAAATATAAATTTACGCTGAACCAGGTGTCTTGCTCCTTTTCCCATATACCTGAACAAACTGGAGTAATCACATACTGCTGTGGAAGTTGGAAGTACTTCCAAACATGATGCAGCCCTGCTAGAACTGTCTTACTGCATTACACTGACTTATTGTCAGCAGAGTTTAGACACTGCTGGACAAAGATAAAAGCTGGCACGAGCAACAAATCATGACAAAACAGAAATTCCATTCACAGGGACAGTTTACTTTTACTTTCTGTATCAATCTATGGAACGAGCAAGTTATGATGAGGCCAAATTTGCAAGTGTCAAGCTATTCAAATATATGACAGTTACTCTCCTCTGGCTATTTTTTCACCTCCCACCAAATTGCCTGACAACACTGCAATAATTTCACCACCATAAATGGTGACACCTATTCTACAGTTGCAATACACTTAAGATTTGATTATTGTTACAGTATTGCACACATGTGCATGTGAAAAGGACCAATAGTCATTAAGTAACCAGACCTGGGAAGACCTCATTGCCAAGTGCCTGAGATCAGAGGCAGCTGTCAAATGGTCTCAGCACACGCCCTGCTGATAAACGTAGCTTAGAAATGCAAAAATAGTTAAAGCATGCATTTAGAAATTCAAAGTCGAGTGGGAAAGAGGCTGTCAAGAAAGAACAGAGGCCTGAGATACCAAGGGACTAGCACTTTACAACCAACCCAGGGCAGCAGTGCTTTCAAAGCATCATAAAGCACAGACTACACATGCAAATACCGAATTTGTTACGGGAACAACACACAGGCATGGTCGATAAAAGAGTATTCAAGGATCTAGAGTTCAAATGACGAATTAAAACTTTACGACAGACATTTCTCTCCAGGTAGAATCACAGCTATTCTGATCAGCTGATGCACATCCTTGTTTTTAAAGAGGGGCTGGAGGAAAGGACCTCACTGTTAAGGTACTAAGTGTTTTAAAAACACTTTGACAAAGTTTACTAACTTTCAAGATATGCTGTAAGACCCATCTATATTCCAGGCAGTAAAGAAAAGATTTAATTCAGACAGCCTATATAAGGATTGCCGAATACCAGATTTCTTCCAAAAATTAGTCTTGCCTTTATGAACGTATGCAACTAGAAAGGTCTTTTTCCAATCATCTGCAATACGTTCTTGGACTAAATCAAAACTAAAGTACCACCTGCAGCAGTAACTACTGCCATTCAAGAACAAAACATACTCTTGTCTTTCTTTTAAAATTTGAATAATATGTGAAGATAAACTCAACTACTAAAAATCATTAGCTTAGCATATCCATAGATGAGAAATAGACTGAAAATATTTACAACGCTGTTTAATGTTAACTTCACACGTTTTATTTCAAACTCTCAAGCAACTAAAAAAAAAAAAAAAACAAGAAGGCCATTAGATAATTATCCCTACTCTGAAGTTTTCCTAACTTCTATTACCTCGGTGCTATCTTCAGTGAGATTAACAAAGTCACATCTACAAAAAATTGTTCTCAAAAATAACAATCATCATCAATAAAATCTCTAAGACTCTCAAATCAAATTGCAGGTGTCTTCGTCTATCTTTCCTAGTATGAAGGGCAGCAACCCACAGAGGAAAACAAGACACCATGTATTTGCTCGTCCTTTAATCAGTAATTGCCAGAGCAAACTCAAAGTTGTACAGTTCTGCATCTCTCATAAGTCAGCAACAGGAAATGTCACTTTCTTGGTGACCTCTGTATAGCACTGATGAAAGTGAGTGGACCAAAGAACAACACAGGGGCTGATAAGGCATCAAGATCTCCACTGTCAGTATTGTAGCAACTATGTAGTTGAAAAGGGACATTGCTCTACCCCCACAAATAAGCTAAACGTGAACTGCCATATCCCACCAAGCTTTGCTTTTTTGGAATGGATGACATTGTCTCTGCTACGCTCAGTGCTCTTCCTCACACTTCAAATCAAAACGTGACTTAACAGTCAGATATCCAGGAGGAAGCCATTGTGCCCCATTATGACCTTGGGTAAAGCAATCTGTGCTTCAATTTCTGTACCCACTGAACATGTATTGTATCTGCACTGTATCTTCCCACCTCGTAATAGCCACACTTCCACTCATGAGTATCGCTGCACTTCAGTCATTATTTAACTCAAATAATTAATCTGTGTGAACAAAACTGATGACTATGAACCCAGCCAGATCTTCCACATTATGTTTTATAAGCTTCCACCACTCTTGTCTTTC